TAGATAAGTTTTGTTTATGGAGCAACTTGCAATGTGAACAGATGACTGATGTTGTAGTGGCCAGGCTTAGGCTTGGTTACAAGTACTTCTGGCAGTTTGGGAGACACACAGATGATGATCAAACTAAATGTAAATTATGTGATCAGGCATATGGTCACTCTCTTGAACACTATGTGCTTAATTGTCCACTTATTGAGGAATACAGAGACAGACAGTATAATAACCTATGTGACATGTCAAGATATCTTATTAATGAAAATAAGATACCAGATATACTAAGCAAATTTCCTAAATTTGCTTGTAACAGATAAGTGAACTATAGATATGTAGATATAAATCCATATGTATTCCTGTTAACCCTTTGGGGCCTAGTTCCTAGGCCTTTTGTGTATCCACATGCTCTCGCGCTACCGTCCACAGGATGGATATGGGGTGCACAATAAACTAGCCACTTCGGTGGCAAAATCTAAATCTAATCTTAGCGTGCTCGTGGCACCCCTGCTCTTCATTGGGGAAATGTTGCATCTCCTGCCCAGTCTTTTACTTTCATAGGGAGTGATTCTCGTGTGCAAATTTGGGACTAGTCCCTCTAGGATTTTCTTCTTTTTCTGTTGGGTTTCAGGGCCAATGACAGCATACGACGTATCGAGCCTGGCCGTCCAGTGCTAGGAGAGGGGACCTCGACCAAAGTGGAAGAATGTTTTGACTAGTAACTGCGTATTATATGTCCCTGATACGCCCTGAAGCCAGCAAGAAGGAGCAGGTACACGCCAATATCTCCCGACGGTCCAGAGGGCGGAACCCCTCCCCGTTGAGAAGGAGAGGTAGAGTGAAAGTGTGCACCCCAAGCGTGCGCAAGGCCGCATGGAGAGTAGTCCATGCTGAGTGGTAACGTGGGCACCGCAAAAAGAAGTGTTGCACCATCTCAGGCTGTGAGGGACACCATGGGCAGTATGGAGAGTCTGTCATCCGAAGGCAGTACAGATGAGCCACCAGTCGCAAGTGCCTGACTCGAAGGTGAGTCAGTGCAACATCCACCGAGGGGTTGGAACGGCGAGCCCAAGGGCAAGGGCCATTAAAAGTTCGGACAGATCCCAACGCCAAAGAAGAGAGAGAGTGTGCCAGGCCCTCCTGCCACTGATGGCGGATTCCTTTCCAAACAGCCCTTGTGAAGTCACTGTGGCCCAGGGCAAGAGGGTTAATAGTAGGAAGTGTGTGCGCGAGGGAGGCCGCTCGATCCGCCACTTCGTTGCCCTGGATTCCAACATGGGCGGGTACCCACTGAAGGGAGATGTTCCAACCCAGGCTCCACAAGAAGCACAGAAGGAGAGATTGCGTCTGACAAACGAGGACGCGTAGTGACCGTGGATGGGCAGATCACAAAAGTGCCAGGGAGGATTGGGAATCAGAGAAGAGAACCAATGGCTGTGGGGGAATGTGATCTAGGACAAAAGCCAGAGCCTGGTGAATGGCAAAGAGCTCCCCTGCCAGAACAGAATGAGCAGGGTCTAACCACCAGATTTGACACAGGGAGAGATTAGCGAAGAAGGCCACAGAGGATGTGAAAGGGGAGGAGGTCCATGTCGAGCCATCCGTGTAGAATGAAGAGCCATACGTAACAGAGCGAAACTCTTGAAAGAGAAATGCAACTAACTGAGGGGGTTCCCTGTTCCTGTAATGCCAATCCAGGTGAATGTACCCCATCAGGTCCAGCCAGGGAAAGGATCGGAGAGTGAAGAGGGAAGGGAGTCATCACAAGTGCAGGAGCCAGAGACGGGTCATTGCAAGATTGAGACCCGTGCCAAGACTACGGTCTTGGCGAACATTATACATACACAAGTGCAGGAAGTGTAAGGCAGGTCAGGAAATGCTGGGCCCTGGCCATAAAGGAAGGCTGAGCCAAACGTGGGGGGGGGGGCAGAGGCTGTCTCCCACATCTGTGGAGAGAGGCGGCAGGGGTGAGTACAAGGCAGAGAGGCCATATGATGGAGTCGTAAGCAGTTTCTTGCTGTTCTCACTGACGAGAGAGGGACTATCCCCGACTCTGCCTCCAAGGCTGCAATGGGGGTGGAGGGGAATGCCCCCAGCATACTACGGATGGCTGAATTTTGGAGAATGTCTAAGCGATGAAGAGAGGATGAAGAGTCTGAGCCATACATTTCACTCGCATAAGTGAGCTTGCTGCAAACCATAGCTGTATAGAACCTAAAGAGAAGGTCTCGATCCACCCCCTACTTGGTGCCAGAGATCTGGCGCATAAGTGCAGTGCGACGTGCACACGAGAGGTGGAGGGCCGCTATGTGTTTCTTCCATGTCAAGAATGGGGCATCTAAGGTGACTCCCAACCAACGATGAGAGGAGACCAAAGGGATTGGCGTCTGATTCAATGAGACTGATGGAAGAGTGGGGAGTCGGCGTCTAGTAAAGCATAAGAGCTTGGACTTAGTATCACTAACCTCCAAACCCCAGGTGGTGGCCCATGATGTCATGCGTTGTAGGGCATGCTGAAGTGTTTTCTGCGCTGTCAGCAAAGTCGGGGCACTGCACATAAGGGCCACATCATCTGCATATACCAGGGTACACACTTCCTGGATGGAAGGGAGATCCGACAGTAAGACAGAGAAAAGGAGTGGGCTAAGAACAGATTCATGGGTCACTCCCCGGTATACAGGACGGGGTGAGGACAAAGTGCCACCCACTGCAACACGAAAGGTCCTCCCTTGCAAAAAGTTGTACATCCAGCAGAGGGGAGCTCCTGTCAGCCCCATGTGGGCAAGCTTAAAAGCAATCTCCGTGTGTGACGCAGAAGCAAATGCTCTGCATAGATCCAAAAATGCAGCCAAAAGGAACTCCCGGCACTCAAATGAAATGTGCACGAGCTGTGTAAATTGAAGCAAAGGGTCGAGGGTGGATCGACCTTCTCGGAAGCCACTCTGGTTATCAGGCAGGAGGCCATGTTCCTCAGTCCACCACGAGAGATGGGTAGCCACCAGTCGTTCCAGCACCTTACCCAAGCAGGGCAGTAAAGAAATGGGCAGGTAAGAGCTCGGTTGGGTATCATAATTACCCAGCTTTAGAATCGGAACCAGGAGAGAGCGCTTCCACACATCAGGGAAGACACCCGTAGATCAGCTGGCGTTGAAAACCTCCAGCATAACATGAGGGAAATACTTGTAGTATGAATGAGTAAGGTAAATTATGCTCCCCTGGAGAAGAGCGGGAAGAAAGTTGAGAAAGTGCCCACTGCAGTTCATGGGAGCTAAAGGGAGATGCCAGCACCTGGCAGTGAACCTTGGGTACAGCAGGTGGCAAAGGGCCCCATTTGATCACCTTTGAGAGTAGAGGAGGAGGAGGATTTTCCAAGTGTATATTATCATGTATCTTTCTCGCCTGCATTCCAGGGAGCACAAATCAGGGGACTTCAACCGTTTCCATTTGTGATGTCTTTAAGTTAAAGTGTAGTGTACTAGACTAGAGTGGTAAGTTTATTCAGGTATACACAAGCACAGTTACACAGATTATCATATGTGTAGCATATGTGTAGAGAACCTAGGATAACCCAAAAAAGTCAGAGTAACTTATTTCCATTGGGGTCCTTTTACCTTATTATTATAATATAAAGGTTATAATATCTTATTATTATTCTATAATGGAGATAACATCTTATTATCATACTAAAAAAAACTATCTACTACACGAGGGTCATTACTAGGAATTAGGTAAAATTACACGCGTATTAACTAAAAAAAATTAAAATCATTCCCCTCCCTTTCTGTAGCTACATTCATCAGACACCTTTTGGCACTCTTCTTGAACTGGTTCATGCTATGACTGGCTTTGACATGTGCGGGCAGTTTGTTCCATTCCTTTACTGCTGTACAATAAAAGATGTTCGAAGCCTGGCCACTGACTGTGGGTACTACAAAGTTGTGCTCTCTCCCCCTAGTACTGTGATTGCTTTGGTTCCCAACCTTGACAAAATCGGCAGCAAGATATTCTGGACACTGTTTGAGCAATTTTATAAACATGATTTAGCTTCAGTTGTTTTACTCTCTCTTCAACATTCAGGATATCCACCTGCTGTAATTCATCCTGGCCTACATGCTCTCTTGGACCCAGGTCCAGGATGAATCTTACCATTTTGTTCTGGGTGATTTGCAGTCCGTCTTTTAGTTTTTTTTTTTTTTTGTCAAGGCAGAGTAACATGAAGAGCAAGCGTAATCCATGTGACACTGTATAAGGGCTAGACATAGGGTCCTGCGAGTCTCAGTAGGTAGACACTGTTTGTCTATAGAGGAATTTCAGTCTGGCGTTCGCTTTCTTTACTACACTGCTCCCTATCAATTCTCCTGACATGCATGGGTCAAAGGGGATTTCCAGATATTTTACTGAGGAAACTGAAGTGATGGGCTCCCCGTTACACTGGACATTAAAATTAATTACTCTTCTCAGTTTATGTTTCGTGCCAAAGAGAATGGCTTCAGTTTTCCCGAGGTGTAATGATAGTTTGTTGTCTACTAACCATTTGCTGTAGGACTCCAGTTCCAGTGTTAATACATTAGTTATATCTTGTGGGTCTTTACCTGACACTAACAGAGCACTGTCATCTGCAAACAGTAGGAGTTTGCACTTGACACTGATAGGCATGTCGTTAACATAGCATAGGAATAATAAGGGACCCAGAATACTACCTTGGGGAACTCCACATGCTATCAGCAGGGGTTCTGATTCCGTTTTGCTGATTTTGACAATTTGTCTCCTGTTGCTAAGTGGTCCAGCAAATGGCTTCTCGAATTTAATCCTGCCAAATGCAAAGTCATGAAGATAGGGGAAGGGCACAGAAGACCACAGACCGAGTATAGGCTAGGTGGCCAAAGACTGCAAACCTCACTCAAGGAGAAAGATCTTGGGGTGAGTATAACACCGAGCATGTCTCCGGAAGCACACATCAGCCAGATAACTGCTGCAGCATATGGGCGCCTGGCAAACCTGAGAACAGC